ATTCCATTCATCTTTTGGAATTATAAACTCCCCTTCTTTGATGTTACATTCATAATATTTTCCTTCAATGTTTAGAGGAGACACATTCTTAGAACCTTGTGGTAAAAGCTCCCCAGGGCTTTTATTAAAATGTTTTTCATTCAAACGTTTTAATGGACTCTTTATTGGACTAATAAATTTGTCTCTTGTTTTACCAGTGTTTCTTAGTAAATCAATTGAACTATTACATTCAAACAATGAACTTCCTGTTATATTGTCATGAAATAATTTTCTTCTTGGAGTTCCTGTGGTAAAATTTCTTTGAGTAGGTGTCACAAATACAAAATTTGACTCTTTAGGACTTTGTTCCAACAATACAGTATCATTAGAAGTGTCAAACATATTCTCCACACTAGACAAATAGATAGGTGCAACTTCCATAATGTCCTCATTTCTCTGTATCAACCTAAAATTGTATAAAGTTTCATCAACAACAGATAACTGTTCTACATTGGAACCACACATTACCTTTTTCTTAGGAGGATTTTCATCTGTAATTAAATTTTCCACCTGTGATATTTTCCCCTTAATATCGTTGTTGCAATTGCGTGTATTAATAGTTGATCGTTAACACATTCCACAATGCCAATAGCTTCATTTTGTTTTGTAGGAGTGATAAATTCATCAACAATCGACTCCTCGAGATTTGGTTTCAACAATAAAGATCCATGTTCAGGCATATCATTTATTGTTATACTTGTTTCCATTAACCTAGAACTTGACAAAAAATCATCACCAATAGACACCTGCCCAATATTTTCATATAACATACCTCTGTGCAAAAACCAATCGCATAGACTTCACATAGCTATTACCGCATGTAACATGAGAAGTTAAAAACTAGTGCCTTAGGCTGTCTCAGAGATATCGCACGGATGCCAAACGCCAGGTTGAGTGATGTTATAAATGAGATGTTAAAAGATTAAGTTTATAGGACTTCACAAATAACTTCTTACTCAACTTCTATCGGTTGTTTATTTAGATCGCTCAATAGTTAATAAACAAAACTTAGACTTCTATAGAGCATCAAAAATATACTACATCAAACTCACCCATATGTTAAATTAAACTGCTTTATTTACTTCACTTAGACTTCTCAGAGATATTATACCCTTTTATTATTAGTTTTTTACACTGCATTTATCAACTACTTTAAGTAGTTTGAAATTGATGTCAATGAGTAGTAACATTTATATCAAACATAATTACTCTATATAATTATAGCTCTATAGCTATTATATATAGGTATACGATACCGTATAATATTAGTATACCGCTATTATATTAGCTGTATAAAACTTGCAATAATAGAAGTTATATAATTAAAAATATTAAAAATATTATTCAGTGTACCTACTGGCTACTGGTGGAGCTCTAAGTGGTAAATATATGTAAATATTTTCTAATTTTTTTTTTAGTTATTGAGGGAGGAAAACGTTTAAATAATCGCCAGTAAATTGTTAAAACATTAAAGGTAGGTACCTTCATTTATTGTAACAAAAAAAATATATATTTATAATACTATGTACACCTTAAATAGGAAAAAATATAAAATTCACAATTGAGACATTGAGTTATTAAAATTATAACATAAGTATAGCTAGGTACATAATAATATAATAGCATTTAGATAGAAGCATTTAACTAGCACATAATATAATATATAATAATATAGTAAAAAAAAAAAAATGAACAACTTTTTTCTTATACAAAAATAAGTTTATCCAAATGCATTTTCATTTAAAAGTTAGCTACCTACCTATTGAATAAAACATAATATTAGCTACATACTACATACCTAATAATAATATAATATATAACATAATGTATCTGTATAATAATATAATGAGGCAACTACCTTTACATCATAAAAAGGTAGGTGCAAAATGTAAAATGTCCAATTGAGTTATTAAGTGAAGGTATATATATATATATATAATTATTATATATTTATAACATAAGTAGCTAGGCTCATAATAATATAGAATTTACAATTTACATACAAAATAACTAGCACATCATAAAATGAATAATATAATTAGAACCTACCTAATGAACAACTTTTCGTTTATACATAAATAAGTAGTTACAAAAATGCATTTGCATTTAAAAGTTAGCTATTGAATAAAATATAATAGTAGACATATTAATAAACATAATAATAGACATAATAGTAAACATAATAATAATAATATAATATATCTGTATAATAATAATGAGGCAACTGCCTTTACATAAAATTAGGTAAAAATTAAAATTCGCAATTAACATTTTTTACATTTATAACATAAGTAGCTAGTAACATAATTTAGCATTTAAATACAAAATAACTAATACATAATATAATATATAATAATATAGTACCTAATGAACAATTTTTCTTTTATAAAAAATAAGTAGGTACAAAAATTCATTTAAATTTAAAAGCTGGCTATTGAATAAATCATTAGTGCATAATAATAATGTACACAGCAAAATTTATGTATGTAATAATAATGAGGCAACTGCCTTTACATCAGAAATGGGTAAAAAAATGCATTTATATTTTAATGATAATAAGTTAATAATAAAAGAATTTGATACAGATATTGTATCTACATAAAAAGAGCCTACAATACTAGATAAAACTGGTGTCTCAAACATTAAGGTTAAATTATTATATTTAATAACTTCAAGAAAAATAGATCCATCTTCACGTTTACCAATTTTTTGGATATTTACAATTTCATTTGTTTCTAAAAAAAAATATTTATTACATATATTACTTCTACTGACAACAAATTTTTCCAGAATTATTTGATCATACAAAGTTACTGAAGGGTCCCTATGATATAGTGGGTCATAGTCTATTTCATTTTTCAGTACCTATAGGATAATTTGGTAAAGTTTTAATTTGGATGTTTTGAAGTTCAACAACTCTATTGTAAACATCTTGTAGTGGGTATCTGGCATTTTTACAGTTTTTTTTATTATTTGTAAACAGTTTTCATATTTAAATGCACTAAAATTATCAAGAGGACCGTGTTGAAGTGCAAAGTCAGCCAAATGAATTAATCCATGTACATTATATGTAACATATTCATAACCTTATAAAGTAGGATATTGAGAAACAAATGACATAAGTAAATTTTTTGCTATAGAATTATGTGTTATATACAAATCATTGCTAATCAATATTTTTATTGCACAATGTAATAACATAAAATGTTGAAAAAGTTGCTGTTTTGTAAATCTTCCTTTTAAAACAATTAACGACGTATATAAAAGAAAAGGCCTAAACTCTGTAGCTTTAAAAAATTCTAATTCGTCCAAACTCCGCGGTAATCTATTAAATTCTGAAGGGAAGTATGGTTTTATGTCAATGAGTTGTGAAGAAATTTCAGATACTATTTCAACACTTTTAAACCTAATAGGTTTTTTTCCTTTTACCCAAAAAGTAAGTAAACGTTTCATGACCCCAAGACAGACATTGTGCATATAGTCTAGAACGACAGTTGATACCAAATTAATGGGAAATTCTTCTAAAGGGCTAGGTCCTTTGTGGTAATCTTCATCCTTTTTTGAACGAAATGAATCGTCAGTTCTTAAAGGAGAAGACACTCCTAAAAATGACATCCGGCCATTAATAAATGTTCCTTCTTCGATACAAGAATTGCAGCTATGGTATGCGTTAAAGGATTTAACATTTAAAATAAATGCCTTTGCCGGAGCGTCACAAATTATTTGGCTTATAATAAAATTGTAAATTTTACCATTTAAGTATATTCCATTTGAAATAATACTTTTCATTTCAGTCATAAATGAGTTTAAATATTCAAAAATTGACCCTGGCTTTTTAAATCTACCATAATATATTCCCACAGGCATAACATATTTTGACAATATTGGAATATTTACTATAGAAATTAAAATTGGCCATAAATTTGATTTAGAGTTTCTAGAAATTGGCAATCCATCAATATTTATTCCCAATTGTATAATAGAAGTATTTTTAAGTTGTTCAACATAAGCTAGTAAAATAGGTGTAATCATAAATTCTATACCAATATGAATATATGTACCAGGAACCAGGATGAACATTAATTATTGCATGGTTCTTGGGGGTTTGAAATAGAGTTCTTACATCTTTTGGAAAATCAAGTCCTTCAGATCTAAGAATTTCCAAAAGTTTATTTACACAGTTATGCGAAATATGAAAGTCACAAAATTAACTGTCGTAATTTATCCTTAAGTGTTTTACTTTCAGCACTAATAGGTTGATTTGGAGGATTAATTAAGCCTGTAGCCAATTCATTTGACCGATTAAAATTGTCTGGTAAACTGGGGTACATTGTAGTTTGAATAGTTTGAGCATTTGATGGGGTACACACATTTATAAAATCTTGATGTTGCAACACTTCAACATACTCACAGTTTGTAGTACTTTCTTTCAGATGACTTGATAGCGCAGTAAAATTTAAGCTAGCTGCTTTCTTATCAGCTTCAAGACATCGTTTGAAATTTCTTTTGGACATATTATGCAACGGTTTTCTTTTTTTTAACTATAACAGAAATTGTAATGCAGAATTTAAACAATATATGTACTCAAACAAAAGTTAAATTTTGTAACTATTTTAAAAATTAAAGGTCAATATTATATATTTCAACTTTTAAGTACCGATGTATAAACTAAACTAGTATCTAACATCCTAACCTAACCATTTTAGAAAATTTATAGGCCAATATTATATAGGTATTTTAACTTGTAAGAATGTACGATGAACATGACCTAACCTAGATTTAGACTAACTTAATTAGTAGGTACCTACCTATATAATTTCCTGAATATTATCTAAAATATATATAATATTATTTAAAGACATTAATTTATTATACATAAATCATGTATATAATACTTACTATACAAATTATAATAGATGAGTATACGTTTATACTATTGTTTTCTTCTTATAATATAAATTAATAAATTATTGGAAAAAATATTATTTATTCTTAGTCTGTTGATCTCTTATTAATCGCTGTGAGCCATGACGAAACTAGTCTTTAACATGCAACTCGAAATCAAGGTCTGATGAGTTGAATTTTTCCCTAGATAAGTCTATAGAACAAATAAACAAACAAAAATGAGAATTCCCACTAAACGTTTGTAACACAAAAATATTTAAATTACCTTTCATGATGCTCATAAACCAAATATTTTCGAGCCTGTAGTTATTTCGAAAACCTGTCCACGAGCATTTTGAAGATAGCTCGTTACTAAAAATCCTTTGTGATACACGTTTAATGAAATTTTTGATATCAGTACCTCCTATTCTAGTAATAAAATTCGTCTGCAAAATGTTATTATGTCTTTAATAGGACTTTATTTAAAAGGGAATATGCATTAGTTAGGTATTTATAATGTAACAGGCATAAACATAATGTGATGATACGTCATGTGAAACGAATAGGTAAAAAAAAAAATTAAAAAAAATTAATATTCATACCACATGTAGTTTAAAATCTGAATCATTTGTGATACGAGCATCAAAATCTTTAAGTGAATCGATATCTTTTAAAGGAAACATGGTTAAAAATTTACTATCTATAGGATTATTATTATTATTTTGGGTACCAGCTGACATATTTTTTATGATTTGTTCAAGACAATCCAATCTTCCATCAATTCTTTTTAAATATGCATTGGTTTCAATGCCTTGTTCATATATAATATTTAATATATTTGACTGAACAGCATCTGAAGTAGAAAAATAGTTATTACTTATTATACAACTAAGTACTAAATACAATATTTTACATGATATTAGAATTCAGATAAATGTATATTTTTTAGTAAAAATAAACAGTTTTTAGTTTTTAGCAAAGCATAATTTAATGTAACATGTAAATAAATTGCACGAGTGCATCAATGTTTTTGCAATAGTTAAGTGGTCTTAAATTGTCATCTTTTAAATGTGATATACTCGTATTAACATTAAAAAAAAAAAAGGTGGGTAAGTGGATGTCGCTCTGCTGTACAGTAGGTTACAAGTGGGTCACTGTATAATGGATGCTATTAAATTTGAATTCAATGATACAATATCATTGTATAAGAAAAACGATTCTGAGCGAAGACGGTATGTCAGTCTAGGTTTAATACAAATTATATACATATCTATGGTATTAAAAAAAAAATTGACCTATAATAAATTCCAAATTATCATATCACATTATCACAATATCCATTAGGTACTTATAACACGCTATACATCAACATCAACAACAAACCCTGATACTATCATATATATATAATAGTACACTTTAGAAGTTTCAAGTAGATACCCACGAATAATATTATATAATCACAACATAATAACTAGGTTTTTTAATATGTAATTTCGTCCAAATTTGAACATAACATGACTATAAAAGTAAACTGTGATTGTATATTTTTTAGATTTTTCGGTAAGAGAATTAACTACTTACGTGGAATCTTGTTTTAAATTTTCAATCCTTAGCTATAAAAACTGAACATTTTATAATTTATTAATTACGATGATTAATAATTTTCGAGATTTTGAAAAATTCTATCAAAATTCGATGTTAAAATGCTTATAAAAAAAAATTGTGCCTATGTATTTTTAATATTTTTCAACTTATATTGTAACAATATATCAGGAGCCTTGTATTAAATTTTTACACTTTTTGGCCCAACAGATAAAACTTAATTGATATTTATAGAAAAAAAAAACTAAAAAAATTGAAAACTGAAAATGTCCGTAAACGGCTCAAAAAGTGTCAAAATATTTTCAAAATTGTAGGGTGTATAGGAAATGCTAATATAAACATTCAGTGAAATTTTCATGTATCTACAGTAATTCGTTTTTTAATTACAACAAAAAAAGGAAATTGCCACATGAGAAATCGAGTGAATATCCAATGTTGTAAAAATTTGAATTTCAAACGCTCATAAAAATTTAATTTGACTTTCCGGTAGAAATTTTTTTATTGATAAAGGTAGACAATCTTATGAGTAATCTTGTATTAGATTTTCAAATCTTAGATTTAAAAAGAAAAATTTTTACGAATTCTTAACTCAAAATAATTTGCTAATTTTCGTGATTTTTCCATATTTTGTCAATTTTTTAACTTTAAATGCTTATAAAAAAAAATTGTGACTAAGGATTTTTAATATTTTTCATCTGCCTTTGAAACAACATATTAGGAGCCTTCTATTAAATTTTCAAGCTTTCGCAACCAACAAATAAAATTTTATTGAAATTTTTAGAAAAAAAACTAAAAAAAATGGAAAATGAAAATGTCCCTAAAACAGTTCAAAATAAATCAAAATATTTTGAAAATGTTATCGTGTATAGAAAATGCAATATAAACAACCAGTGAAAATTTCATGTATATACGTTCATTTGTTTTAGAGTTACACCAATAACCAAAATCGATTTTTGGAAAATCAATTTTGCGTAAAAATTCCCGTTTTTCCTTAATTTTTATGTTGTTTTTCTCGGCGCTTGTGAAAACTACTGGGAAATTTAAATTTTGACCTCCCCAATGCACCAACGATATTCACTTTCCAATCGAACAAGATACTGAAGTCGAAAATCGAAGCATTATTTCGACTACTTATCGTGTACACAGATACAAAAAAAATAAAAAAGGTGGGCAAGTGGGTGTCGCTCTGCTGTACAGTAGGTTACAAGTGGGTCACTGTATAATGGATGATATTAAATTTGAATTCAACGATATAATATCATTGTATAAGAAAAACGATTCTGAGCGGAGACGGTATGTCAGTCTATGTATAAGACAAATTATATACAAATCTATGGTATTAAACAAAAAATTGAACTATAATAGGTACCTATAATAAATTAAAAATTAATCATATCACAATGTCCATTAGGTACTTATAACGCGTTATACATCAACAAAAACCGTGATACTATCATAGATATATAATAGTACACTTTAGAAGTTTCAAGTACCCTCGAATAATATTATTCAATCACAACAAAATAACTATATAATAGTTATTCTAGGTTTTTTTAATATGTAATTTCGTCCAAATTTGAATTTAAAATGTCTATAAAAAATAACTGTGTTCATATATTTTTTAGATTTTTTGGTTACAGTATGAACTATTTATGAGAACCTTTGTTTAAAATTTGCAATCCTTAGCTATAAAAACTGAACATTTTATAATTTATTAATTACAATGATTGATAATTTTCGAGATTTTGATAAATTTTGTCAAAATTTGATCTTTAAATGCTTATAAAAAAAAACTGTGCCAATGTATTTTTAATATTTTTCAACTGCTATTGTAACAATATATCAGGAGCCTTGTATTAAATTTTTCCACTTTTTGGCCCAACAGATAAAACTTTATTGATATTTATAGAAAAAAAAACTAAAAAAAATTGAAAGCTGTAAATGTCCATAAACAGCTCAAAAAGAGTCAAAATATTTTCAAAATTGTATGGTGTATAGGAAATGCCAATATAAACATTCAGTGAAATTTTCATGTATCTACAGTTATTCGTTTTGAATTACAACAAAATAAGGAAATCGCTACATGAGAAATCGAGTGAAAATCCAATGTTGTAAAAATTTGAATTTCAAACGCTCATAAAAATTTAATTTAACTGTCCGGTAGAGATTTTTTTATTGATAAAGGTAGATAATCTTATAAGGAATCTTGTGTTTCATTTTCAAATCTTAGATTTAAAAAGAAAAATTTTTACGAATTCTTAACTCAAAATAATTTGCTAATTTTCGTGATTTTTCCATATTTTGTCAATTTTTGAACTTTCAATGCTTATAAAAAAAAATTGTGACTAAGGATTTTTAATATTTTTCATCTGCCTTTGAAACAATATATTAGGAGCCTTCTATTAAATTTTCAAGCTTTCGCAACCAACAAATAAAATTTTATTGAAATTTTTAGAAAAAAAACTAAAAAAAATGGAAAATGAAAATGTCCCTAAAAACAGTTCAAAATAAATCCAAATATTTTGAAAATGTTATCGTGTATAGAAAATGCAATTATAAACAACCAGTTAAAATTTCATGTATATACGTTCATT